ACAGGGGTCACGATGATTCAATTCTATGGGAAGCCTTTACAAAAACCTCTCACCTTGTCCCAGGCCCCACAATCTCTCTAACTCTGTTCCCAAGTCTCAGGGGCAGGTATGGTTGGATCCAGGATGTTCCTGACTCACTCTTGATCACATTTCAGCCCAAGGCCATGGGCAGTGATAGGCCCAGATCTGAACTGGACCTTTCAAGGCAGGAAGAACACATGCACAAGAAGAGTACTTCAGTGAACCAGGAGGTGCTGGGTACAGGGAGAACATGGGTCCCCGCACCCATGAAACCAGGACTAGGTCTATGGAAAGGTGCATCGGAGGTGACCAAATCTATAGAGGATTCCAGAAGAAACCAGGGATATCCTGGTTCTTTGTAGACATAGTCACTGGTTCTGGGATCCTTACATGCTATCTAAACCCATATCCTTCTGAAGGACCTTTAGATAAGAGCATTTGCATGGAAGATATTTTTTGCTTTTCTGAGAAAAGAATGTAGGTCCCATTAGATGGACTTTGCCATGCTTTGAAAATGACCACTTGTGTTATTCCTATAATGCAGGAAAGTACAGGACAGACCTTGTCTCTAAACAGTAGCCCAGGGCCTCCTCTCTCCACACTTTGAATTGATTTTCTCCTTGTCCAATGTCACTGTGTGAACACAGAAGCTTACTTTGGAGAAGGCACCAAGCTCACAATTGTAGGTAAGATGCCCTTCGGGTAACTTTCCAGCTCTCTTGTGGGGCAAAGTACTTCCCCAGTGTCCATTTTAGAGTGGCCATGTCCTAATGTGCCAACTATGACTACACCTTCGCCTCAGGGACCAGGCTCACAGTTGTAGGTAAGGTTTGGTTGGGGTCTCCGGGCCAGATATGACAGGGACAGACTCTGTCTTGGGAAATGCAAAACAAAAAAAAGGACAGAGCTGCTGGGATTCACTTAGGAGAGAGGTTGTCTCACGTTGGAGATGTGTTTGGGAGAGGCTCCCTCTGAAAACAAACCTGCCAAGTGACCCCAAGTTTCTTGGAAAAGAGAAAACTGAGCTTGAGATAAAGGACACTGGAGGAAAAAGACTATGCTGTCCCCCAGGTAGTCCTCTGAGAGGGGGTTCCGGGGAATTAATAAGCTGTGACACATACCTGCTTTACTGAAAAACGATTTCCAGAGCATCTTTAGATATGTTATGGATTTTATAGGTACCCACACTCTTCTCACCTCTCTGGGTGCTGGTAAACTCTGGGAGGGAAGGGAGAGTTTTTGAGCAGGACTGTGCCTTTGTGAGGGAAGAGAACCATGATTCGCTGACCTTTCCGGAATCCCACTCTGCTCCATACACAATGAGAGGTTTTGAAGTGGACCTGGGAGGCTGTGTTCTGGAAACACTCTCTATTTTGGGGAGGGAAGCCGGCTCACTGTTGTAGGTAAGTCATGGCTGGAGGGCCGTCAAATAAATAGGGGCTCTATCTTGAGCACATTTTCATCTGGAGGATTTGAATTCTTACCTTGATGTAACAAGGAGGGAAAAGGCTCCATTTTGAGTATTTTCTGTATTATCTGTGCCAAGCCTGGGCACCCTACCCAGAGACAGGAGACTCAGCTCGAAAAGAGTTACTGTGTCCATCTCCTGCCTTCTTGGAGGAACCTGTCCTGGTCTTGGTAGATGGAAAATCTTTGTTACTGTCACAGTCAAGGTGGATTAGCTCCTGGACCATAGTACTTTCAACCGCCCAGTTGCCTTCATCCCTCTGCTTCCCAAGGATAAATTCCTGGTAGAAATAGGAGAAGAAAGCAGGCAGTGAGGAGGAAGGAGTGGAAGGCAGCAGAAAGCAGTTCTCCTGCCCGGTTTTAGTGCTGTGCAAATAATGACAAACTGACTTTTGGCACAGGAACCAAGTTGATGGTCTTGGGTAAGTAAAAGCTTTCTTTTTGCATGGGATACTGCCACTTTGGGGTTTCAGGAGGACTCCTTAGAAAGGGCAGGGATCAAGATTAAAGCCCAAGGTACAGCTCCGTGAATGAGGGCAGGTGAAATTACTCCAGTGTCAGTTCTGGGAAGGAAGGAAGGAAAGAAGGAAGGGCCCCAGCAGTCTCTCTGAGGTTTGCTACCCTCATGCTGTACTGTGTAGCAATCAGGCACAACACTTTGGAGAGGGAACTCGACTCTCTGTCCTAGGTAAGTTGGGGAATGGGGCAGTGGGGCCACTGTCACTTGAAGCCAGTCTCCACTTCTTCTAGTGATGGCAGAAAGCGCTCAGTCTTATTTTAATGTATTGCATATAGGGGTTCTGAGCACTTGGGTCTGCTTATCCGTACGTAAGACTTGGTCAGTTTCTCCAGTTCTCTCCTATATTCTTCAGTTATAATCTGTGTCCTCCCTCCTTTCTTGGCTGATCCTAACTTCTTATATGCTCAGGCGGATCTGCCTTCTTAAACCTCTTATTCCTATCTCTCATGCCATAGCATGCTGAAACATTTTCTCCATACAATTTCTTTCCTCCAGAGCTATAAGTGCATGTAGAGAGAGGTAGCCATCCCCGGTCAGGAGCTAGAACTGAGCCTCTGGCTGGGGGCCCCAGGTGGGTTTTACCATGGCCATCTTCTGCTGTGCTCCTATAATTCACCGCTCTATTTTGGAACAGGCACCAGGCTCACTGTGACAGGTATGGGGGCTCTGTTCCTGAGTGCAGGTGACTGTTTGATGGCAATGATTTGGGTAAAAGTCAGAGTTGCTCCTCTGCACCTGGATCCCTGCACTCTCTTCTACCTTCCCTTTGGCTTGGGGACTTACCCTGCTTGCTCTTCTGCTGGTTGTTTGTAGCTCCTGGTGGGTCACAAAGCTCTATCCCCTTTTTGGGGCTTTGTGACTTGGTTGCTCTTTTATTTTAATTGTTCATCTCTACTTCTTTAGTCGATATGCTGTTTTCCTTTCTCTTTTTATCTTCTCCATTTTCCTTCTCATTTTCACCCTGCTTCTGCATCGTTGCTGATCTTATCTTAGTAAAAAAGCTGTCTTCAGTTAAAATGCTCAAATCCTCCCTGATTTTTCCCTCCTGGCGCAGAACTCTGGTCTCACATTCATCTCCCTCCTTTTCTCTGTCTCTCTCAGACACTGAAGAGCTGCATTTGTCTTCCTGGGGTGATTTAAAGAATTTAGAGGCAGAGAAAATGAGGCTGGTGGTATCAGAGTAGCTTGAGGGCTGCTCCTGAGACAAAGGGCACAAATCCAGGTTACAGGATCCTATAAGCTTCCTGGGGAGTCTCTGGGTGGGCTCCGCTTGGTAGGTGTCTGGGAGACAAGTCTGAGTAAGCTGTGGCAATGGGAAACTTTCCCATCTTAACAACAGCAGATATAAATGAGAGAAAATAAGTAACAGAAACTATTTTTTCAAACACTAAGTACTATGCTGGGATACAGGGTAAGACATCAATAGGAAACGCTAACAAAACCATTACGATGCTTGGTAGGAAGCAGACTGATGTGTGGAGGGGGATTGGGAAGAGATGAAGTCTGGGCTGGAGACAGAGACAGGGCTGGAGGAATGGGACACCCAGATCCTGCCCGGACTGGGAACTCAGACAGATATTGTCTTGCATGTGAGGCCGCATGGCAAGGAGTTCAATGGAAAATACAATCACTGGATTCCAAGACCTTAGCTCAAGAGCCTGGAGACAGAGAAGGGGTAGAGGTGGGGTTCATGAAATTTGAAGTGATTGAAACTGTCTCAGTGTTTCTGAGACACATAAAATGAAATGGAAAACTTACAGGAGTCCTTTGTAAAGGATTCAACTTAATGTGGTGACTGTCATTTCTGTCATTTATTATTGCTCTGTCAGGGCTTGACTTTTTCCACACCTATGTTTCAGTATCACCATCCAAACCATTTCTGAACTTTGGAAAAAGTAAAGACATCTAGACTTGGCCTGTTTCTGCACCAAAAGCCCATCCTATGTTCAGAGCCAACCCAAGAGGACAGTAAACTGTGGCAAGATAAAGGGTGCCTTTTCTATTCCTCATATGCCTTTATAGGAGGTTTTTTTTCTCTTCCTGGTAATCCCAGAAATTTTTCCTCTCCCGTGTGCCACGCTAGAGAAAGAACCTAGCGCTTTTTAGTGTGAACCCTTTGCTGAAACAGCATTGGGCTTTGTGATTTGTATACACCAACAGTTAAGGTTTGACTACTTTTAAGAATACAAAGTTTGGCTAGGTGTCCAAACCTGACTTAGGAGGCTTGTGAGCCATGGAAAGAAGGCGAGGGTTCAACCAAAGAATGGCATTTTCCACTGAATTTTAGTCATGCTAGGAGAGCTACCCCAGCCTTGCTGAGCCCCAGCACAGGACTGAAGCATCAGGTAGGATGTCAGTATAGACAAGCTGGCTCCTCAAAGCAGGTTACATGTGAATAAGAAGAATTAAGCATGGTAGTTGGAAAACTACCATCAATATAATGGGAAAAGTTTCTCTTCTAGGCATGAAAAGCTATTTGCAGTATGTGATGTGACTCAAACAGACTATGACTTTGCATTTTAAAAAAGGAAAATGATAATCAGAAAAATATCAACTTAGTTCCTATGGCCATACTGCTAACAAAATTCTTTTGTCACAAAACTAAGCCCATTGAACTCTACTATGACCACTTCCGTCTAGAAAATTAGACAGCCATGTACTGAGTAAGACTTTAAATGAGGACAGAGATGTGTTCTTTTGATAGATAACTGAACAAGCCTCAGAGTATGAGACATTGCAAATAAAGGCAAGAAAATAAGGACAGATGTCACCTGAAGGAGATGGGAAAGATAGTAGATAATGTGCACCCATGGCACAAGCTGAGGGAGAAAACAGAAAAGAAAATAATGACTCCAAATCACATTGGATGTACTTTGACATAGTTTTGTTGTGCTCTTTGACCCTTTTCAAGCCCTCACATATACACATAGCTCCTTCCAGGCCTAGCTGGCTCTGAGAGCAGCTCTGTTCCCAACCCCTCTTCACTCTGCAGAAAATCTGGACAGGGTGAAGCCACCCAACGTGGCTGTGTTTGAGCCATCAGAAGCAGAGATTAACCAGAAAAAGAAGGCCACACTCGTGTGCCTGGCCACGGGCTTCTACCCTGACCACGTGGAGCTGAGCTGGTGGGTGAATGGGAAGGAGACCCGAAGTGGAGTGAGCACGGACCCACACCCCTATGAAGAGTCTCCTGGCAACCCAAACTCCAGCTACTGCCTCAGCAGCCGCCTGAGGGTCTCAGCTGCCTTCTGGCACAACCCCCGCAACCACTTCCGCTGCCAAGTCCAGTTCTATGGACTCACAGATGATGACCCATGGGACCAGAAGCATGGGACCAAGCCAGTCACGCAGAACATCAGTGCTGGAGTTTGGGGCAGAGCAGGTGAGTGGGGTTGGAGAGGCCAGTGAACAGACTGAGCCAGATAAGCCCTAGAGGGAGATGAAATATCCAGATGGAAATACTGGATAGGAAACAAAAACAGAAGGGACTAAGGCCCACTGCAAAATTGAGCTGGGCACCTCTGGTTAATTTCTCTACAAAACTTTAACCCACAGCCTTGAACTAGGGACCTCTTTCATGTAGCTCAGCATCTCAGCAGCTGCCTTGTTCCCTCTGGTATTGTTAGCCAAGGTGTCAAGTGTGATGGGTTGATACTGGCATGACACAAGAAAGAGGGTGCCCTGGGCCTGCCAGTCTGTGCTAATCTTGAGGATTACTTAGTTTTCAGGCTGTGTAAGAAAATGAGGTCTCTCACCAATTTTTCTTCCTTCTTTTCTTTCAGATTGTGGCTTCACCTCTGGTAAGTGAGCCTTTCTTCTCTCTACCCTTTGTGGCTTTGGCTGTGGAAAGAGGGCATCTGGGTAGATAGAGGCCAGACTTATCTGCTCACAGATACTGACTTGCTGTCCCTTTCTTCCAACAGTGTCCTATCAACAAGGGATCCTGTCTGCCACTCTGCTCTATGAGATCCTGCTGGGGAAGGCCACCCTGTATGCTGTTCTAGTCAGTGCTCTCGTGCTGATAACCATGGTAAGGGAAAGGTAGGAAGAGAAGGGAGGTTACAGGTGATATGAAACACCCAAAAACTCAAAGACTAGAGTATAGAGAGGCTGTCAAGGCCAGAAGTGGGCAGGAGAAAAGGATGGAGTTTTATTCACGTGTCCTCAAAACTTTCCCTCTGGGAAATTACAGTGGGAGGGCTGTGGTGGTAAGGAGGAGTTATGGTCACCCAAATCCCCAGTGAATATCATCAAGAGCTCTACTGTTTATACAGTCAATGGACCCTACTTCTTCCCCCAAATTTTATCACTTATGGCTCTTCATAAACTCATACCCTACTCTTCTGCAGGTCAAGAAAAAACATTCCTGAAGGCCCCCTGGATGAAGAAGCAGAAACTTCCAACCCATTATGGTGTCTACCTGGATTCGCCTTCTGCCAGTGCTTCTGAAGAGCTGTTCTAATTTCTCTACTCATTCTAATTTTACCCTCTACTCTCACGCACACCTGCATGTTTATGGATGGAATATCCCTAACCCAGTGAAGTCCACTGTCTAGATGATGGAATCAATAAACATGTCCTGTTCTGGCCTGCCTAACTTGTGAATGTCTTCATATCATTTCTTTTCTGTGCCCAGATTCTCCGAGATGTAGTTTTTCAATCAGGATGGAAATGAGAAATATACAAAATCAATACTTTCCCCTCAGATAAGAAAAGTCTAGGGTAAGTTTTACCCTGGGATTCAGAGGAGAGGTAAATTAAATGTAGAAGGTAGAGATGGGAAGAGACAGGAAAGTAGAGAAGATGAAGATGTTCTTCTAGAAAGTCTAAAAATCAGAAGTTCTAAGAACAGGAATTTTCTGTTTTCTCTGCACAAAAGTTGCTCTGAAACACAGGTAAGTTGCACAAACATGAATCTGTGAACTGTTTATGTCCCCATAGCTAACAAAACTTGGTTTCCCATATGCGCCCACTTTCCCTTCAGCCATCTCCCTGAGCGCACTAGCCTCCATGTGTTTACCAAGCCATTTTGCCAGCTGAAAAGAAGAGAATGCCCTGTCTTGCAAACTTATTTGCAATAGAAGATGTGTCTTGCAGTTTAAGGTACAAATCTGTTGATAAATTTCTTTCTAGTGATTTAGAAGTGCATGGAAGGATAGAAAACTAAGTTTTTTAAACCAAGAATCAGCAACATTTCTACTAGAAATTCTTCAGAAGATTTCTGCTGAATCATTGTCACCATGATATAACCCCAGGCACAGAGACCTGATGATAAACCCTACCTCTTTATTCCATGTTCACCCTGTTCCTCTCATTCCTGATCCCTGGAACTTATGCTTGCAAGCCACTTTGCCACCTGTTATGTTTATCTGCTTTGTCTAGAATAACACAGCATTCTTCTTGCTTGCTATCTTCTATTTGCCTTCAATGCCTGATCTTCCAAAAAGCCTTTTCTGACCCTTTATTGCCTTCACTTCTTACTCTCCTAAAATGGTATCAAATTCAAAAATAAAATTAAATTCTCTGTATTTTGCCATCAATGGTGCCTTGTGCACATCTCCATGGCACGTGTCCCATTTGATGGAAACCACCTTTTCACTTGTCCTGAACCACCAGGTGACTATAAGTCCCTTCATAGCAAGGCTATAATTATGAAGGTGTCCCTATAGCACTGCATGAGGTCTTGGCTCAGGGTAGGCATCAGACAAGTATATTTGGCTAAGTGGCCCAACTCAGGAGCAGTCAGCATCATCAGGTCTTCCTGAAATAGCCCTGGACACATCTTCTATTGCAGACACACACACACACACACACAGTAATTAAGCACATATTACTGCAAAATGATACTATCGACCTCCAAGCAAAGAAAGATACAAATCACAGTCCCCAAGCATCTTATTCATAAAGAGACTATGTCATGAATGAAAAGGACTGAAATACTTTGAAATATTTTAATGCTTTGAAATAGCCATGTGATCTATCTACTAAAATGAAATCAGGGAAGAGCCCTCCATTTCTCACTGGGATAATCAGGGAAATGTCTGAGAAGATGGCACACCCTTCAAAAAAATTGGTCTCAGTTATAACTGTAGAATGTCATTGTGCCAGTATCAGGCATGAATGAAAGCCCAAGCAACATGACCAGGTCATTTGATGTATAGTTCTTCATCTGGTTGCAAGATTGAGTGGTGGAAATCATCAAAACTAAGGCCAAGAAGGCTGAGTGCTGGTGCTTGTTACTCAGAGAACAGCTTGTAGCCTGACTTGCAGTGGGTCTTCACTAAGCACTTCTGGTGTAATTGAATAGGGAAGTGGAAAGCTGTGGGAATTGATGGTACTCTCCGAGCTGTTGGTCCTTGTGCCCTAGATTTGTCCTACCTGCTCTGTCCCCTTTTAAAGCTGCCTTTCTGCCCCCTTGCTCCTCCCATCGGCATCACTATAAATGCTAGTCTGAGCAGGTGAGTTCGGTGAGCCCCCAAAGGGAGACCCAGTGACATAGATGGTCCTCTCAGGGTAGTGCCTATTCCAAGGGGAGGGGTTCCCATCCCCCCACCAGCACCACTACTTTTCCCCAAGCTCCTCCCCACTTCAAATCTACCCTGCATTTGTGTTTCCTGGGCTCCACTCAGTCAGACTAATCTCTGCCACCTGCACTTCCTGCCCCTGCCCAGTGTCTGGGGGAGGGGAGCCATTAGAAAGGAAATGTTTTTGTATCATAGTATAACATTGTGAGAACTGGGGGGGCCACAATGATTCAAGTAAAGGAGGTGCTTTTACAAAAAGCCCTGCCCCACATAGTTCTCCATCCCAGCCAGAGGAATGCAGCCACCATATGGTAAAAGGTCTGTGGGGCTGGTTCCTGCCCTGTCTCCTTCTTCTCAGTGAACTCATGTGCATCTTTGCCCCAGACTGTTTCCCAGGAATGCAATGGCCCAGGCTGCAGTGTGGGATCTCCAGTCAGCACTTTTCAGTAAACTTGCCCTTGACAAAGCACTTGTGCATGCATCACATATGAGTAACTCATCAAAGGAAAAAAAAGTTTGTGGGAAAGATATGCCGTCTTTCCAATGAAGAGGTTGAGGTCAGAGAGGTTATAGGTCGTGTGGTGTAAGTAATAAGAAATAGAGTCTAATCTGCAAGAATTCCCCACTGCTGGCTACCCATCACCACTATGCCTCTTTGGATTTCAAATTCACTGCATTATCCCTAGGGCAAGTTGATTCTCCTCTGTATATCCCCGGCAACTTCATATAATGCCCAGATTGCTAAAACCTCCTAATTCTGGAAGTTAGAAGAGATTAACCCAGGAAGCAGAAGGAGGGTGCACCCTTCCTGAGCTGGGGGAAGTAGGGAAGGAAGAGGAATTCTAGGCAGCCCCTTCCTGCTGTGCTACTATGCAGAGCAGTTCTTCGGGCCAGGGACTCGGCTCACCGTGTTAGGTAAGAATACCCCCAGTGGGAAGGTGGGTGGGCTGCTCAGTTTGGACCCCCTGCCTGGCCTTAGGGAAAGAATGGCCTATGGGCCACCCAGGGCCCTTTGTGGGGGAGTTGGGGTTTGTACCAGGATCCCTAGTGCTGTGTGAACACCGGCCAGCTGTCTTTTGGGAATGGCTCCAAGCTAACTGTGCTGGGTAAGGAGGAAAGCTGGAGGGTGCTGGTTGAGTAGAACCCAGGCAGGTGAGCAGCTGCTCAAAGTGCAGATGGTGCTGTGCTGAGGGTCTCTGCTCAGCACCTGAGCCGAGGGACCCCTGGTCCAAGTGCCAGGAGAGCTATGGAGCATTCAGGATCCAAGGAGACTACTGGGTCCGGGACAGTAAGGCGGGGCAGCGCCGGTTTTTGTCCTGGCCGAGGATGCTGTGAGCACAGACACACAGTATTTCGGCCCAGGAACCCGGCTGACCGTTCTGGGTAAGCAGCGCTGCTCAGAGGAGTTGGGAGTAGACAGAGTAGGGGCGCAAAGGTTTGGCCTGTTTTTGTGCTGAGTCTGGGTGCTGTGAGCCAAAACACTCAGTACTTCGGTGCGGGTACCCGACTGTCGGTTATAGGTAAGCCAGGGACAGGGGAGGGTTTTTGTGCTGCGCTGGGGGGCCGTGAACCAAGAGACACAGTACTTCGGGACAGGCACACAGGTCACGGTGCTAGGTGAGCACAGGGCGGTGGCCGTGGCGGACGCTGGCAGCGAGGGTCCGGTTTTTGTGGGGGGCCTCTGGGCTGTGCTCTTCAGGTGCTACCCAGATTTTCGGGGCTGGCAGCCGGCTGACCGTGCTGGGTGAGTGTCCGCAGGGCCGTGCGCTAGGGAGGGGGGGCGGCAGGGGCGGCAGGGAAGGCAGCCGGGCTGTCCAGGGCTGGAGCCCGGTGCTGGGATCTGCGGCTGGGAGTCGCTGGGGCAGCTGCAGGGGTTTGCTAGCGGGGCTGCACCTCAGTGTACCTATGAGCAGCATTTCGGTCCCGGCACCAGGCTCACGGTTCTAGGTAAGACACGCGTGTCGCCCACCTTTTCAGGTTCAGGCCCTCGGTCCATGAAGGGGTCTGGGGAGGGTAGGTTGGAGCAGGGGTGCGCGATCACTGCAGGCGCAGCTCTCCTTACCGTCTAGCCTCTTTGCTTCCGTAAGGAAGGGCAAGGGTGCTGGAGTCTGGGAAGCCTGGGGCGGGAGCGGTGGTGGTGGTGGAAGAAAGTTAGGGATTAGGTGAGCGGTGGAGGAGAGGGTTGACAGTATTAGAACTCAGGCAGCCAACTGAATGGGGTGGGGGGTCAGATGGCAAACTTGGCTGGGAAAAGAGTTTGCCTGGCGCGGGGTTGGAGAGAGCTATGTGTTACTGAGAGAGGGAAATCTGGATGTGTGGGAACAGCTAGGAATGACCTACGGATGTGAGTGAAACAAGATAGGTAACTGGTAAGTCCTAAAGAAGAGGCAGAATAAGTCTGACTTTGTTGACTTACTGTTCAGCTGTGTGATTTAAAATTAGATTTAATCCTCCACCTCTTTTTCTCAGGAGCATGGACTCCTGAAGCAGTGGTAGGGGCTCAGCAGCAAGACTGCCCTTGGTCATCACAAGTGCTGGCCAGAGGGCAGGGTAACCTCAGCCAGCTCCTGGGATGCATTTGTTTCCTGGGAGAATCCCCTGTCTGTGTCCTAGGTGGTCTGAAATCTCCAACCTCTGCACCAAGTGTTCTAGATTAAGCACTCACACTGTTCAGGGAATTTATTTATTGCAAGCACATTTTTTGCAGATGTTTTGCCTGGAAAGTGAGGATAATTCTCCAGAAGAGTATTAGCTCTTAGGGCCAGAAGGGACTTTAAATGTCACTTAGCAATGCAATTCCTGAAATCAGAGAAGGGAAACAAGGACCGATCGGAGTATACTAACTAGTCTTTTGATAACCACAACAATAAACATGATGTGTAGTTGGATCCCCTGGCAAGATCCCTTAGGGCTCAGCTTTATACTTTAGTGTATAAGGTGTGGTCAGAGGAAATGCCAGTGATCCAGAATCTGGGGTGCAGAAAGATGAAACTTTAGCACCAGATGGGGCTGGGGTCCAATACATGGCTCTTTGATGATCTGGTGTGCTTTACCAAGTTAATATCTGAGCCACAGTTTCTATGGAATTTAGAAACTGGAACTAGAATGGAAGGCAACGTATATGTCAGAGGTAGGTTGGGAAGAGGAAAGAGAAGCTTTGCAATTTTGACAGGGACTAATGCAATTTATAAGTAGGACACAGACAAACATGAGCTCACTACGAACAAAGATTCAAGGCCAGGCAGGCAAGCCCACAGGAGTATGGCTGACTGGAGCCTCTTCATGGAGTTGTACAGTCAGTGCTTTGGGGTTTGCTAGTGTTTCATGCTCATGGCATCAATGAATACCCTAGGGAACAGTACACGGGCTCAAGGCACATCTTCAGTTTTTACAGCAGGCGCTGTTTGCTGAGGGAGGGAGTCAGAAACGTTTCCCCCACAGTAAGAAAGCATGGAGGTTGGAGAAAATCTTGGGTGTTTGAGACACACTGAGGGCAAGAAGGTTGAGGGAGCCAAGCACTGCAGGTAGAAGTGGGGATATTACTGTTTAAGCAGCACAGCTAATGCTCAAGGTAGGAGTTGCTGTATGGGAGGCTGACGATATGGAGACAGGACCAGCTGCAAAAAGTGCAGGTCCAGATCAAAGTGAACATGAGACCCCTGTTCAAAATCGTTTAGAGTTTCAAAATGGCCAAGGAACAGAAGATGAGAGCAGGCACCAGACCTTCCTCAGAACATGATTCTGTGCAGTAAGTGGGGACTATGCACCTCGGACGTGGGTCCCAGAAGCGGGTCATTTCCACGGAAATAGAAAGCAGATCCAGAACAAATTTTCTCCGTAGCCTGGGAGGCTAGAAATAGGTTTTTATCCATAAAGAGATTTCATTTTAACAGAACTCCTCTGAGAAGGAAAAGCAAAGAACAGGGAAAAGCAAAGAACAAAGCAGAAACTCAAGTGGTAGATGAGATGGCTTCAGGCATGGCCAAATGTCAGAAAATCCCACGTCCTCGTGAATGCCCTATAAACCTGCAAGCTGTCCTCACAGCAGTGCACAAAAATAGGCCACCTGTATATTGGCATCTGAAGAAAGCTGCCTGCAAATGTTTCTTTCTTCCCAAATTCTCCTTTATTCCCCTGTCCTTTGCCTTCAGGTTCAAATAGCACAGTGTAGGATGGGTCATTCTAAACAGGCAAGTCATTCAATTCTTTAAACCTGCTACAGACCAGATTTTAAAAATTAAGTGACTGTGAATCTTATTCCACAAGTAGAAAAAAAAACGTGATGAAGAGACATAAAAAGCCTGTTTGGAACTAAAAAAAAAAAAAAAAAAAAAGTCAAATACTAGGCAAAGTCAGCCTTAGAATTTGGAACCTATTTTTGAGATTTCTATCCATGGCTCCATTTAAATAACTACTTCAAAAGGTGCTGAAGCAGGGATAGGTAAGTTTTCATTAATTGAAGAGAAACCAAACATCAGTGAAGACACTGCTCAGAACTGTAGGCAGTACCATTTATAATACTAACTTAGGAGGATGGAGAGATGATAGCCAGTACACACAAAGGCAAGAAAGAATATCAGAGAGGAATGGACAGTGGCTCCTTCCAGCGAGCTCTGAGAGCAATGCTGTTTCCAACCCCTCTTTACTCTGCAGAAAATCTGGACAGGGTGAAGCCACCCAACGTGGCTGTGTTTGAGCCATCAGAAGCAGAGATTAACCAGAAAAAGAAGGCCACACTCGTGTGCCTGGCCACGGGCTTCTACCCTGACCACGTGGAGCTGAGCTGGTGGGTGAATGGGAAGGAGACCCGCAGTGGAGTGAGCACGGACCCACACCCCTATGAAGAGTCTCCTGGCAACCCAAACTCCAGCTACTGCCTCAGCAGCCGCCTGAGGGTCTCAGCTGCCTTCTGGCACAATCCCCGCAACCACTTCCGATGCCAAGTCCAGTTCCACGGGCTCACAGATGATGACCCATGGGACCAGAAGCATGGAACCAAACCAGTCACGCAGAACATCAGTGCTGGAGTTTGGGGCAGAGCAGGTGAGTGGAGCTGGAGAGGCCAGTGAGGAGACTGAGGCAGATTAGCTATTCAGAAGAAGGTGAGAGAGCCAGGTAAAAATCAAGAATAGACCTAAAGAAAGGCAGAGTATGTGAGAAGGGATGCTGAAGACCATCGTGTGATTAAAGCAGAGCACACACCATAGTAATAGGTAGTATGCTCAGTTCTTTCTTTCACACATTCTGAGCCCTCTCTACTATTCTAAGGGTCCTGTACTACTGGCCATGCAGCTTAGCTCCTGTGTGCTGTGTCTCCCATTCCACTCTCTGACCCTGGATGAGTTGAGGTAGACAATGAAAATGTCCCTAGACTACATCAGCATGAGTGAGACACTACCAGGGCCATCACAGGTGGCATACAGAACCGCCTGATGTGCATGTATTTGTGTGTATGGTCCTGACTTTGATATCAGTGATTCAAGCTCAATGTCCTCCAGAAATGACATTTTCTTACCTATTTTTCTCTGCCTCTTTTCTTTTAGATTGTGGCCTCACTTCTGGTAAGTAACCCTCTCCATTGCTTTCTGTCTCCCTTGGTCTTGTCTCTGTAACTAGAATACAGAAAATTCATGGACAGTGGTAGAGCCTAGAGCTACTTACTCACAGGTACCTACCACTCTATCTTCCTTCCAACAGTGTCCTATCAACAAGGGGTCCTGTCTGCCACTCTGCTCTATGAGATCCTGCTGGGGAAGGCCACCCTGTATGCAGTGATTGTCAGTGCTCTCGTGCTGATAACCATGGTGAGGAGGGAGAGATGGGCAAGTGTTGGAGGGAGGATGTGGAACACTGTAGATGGGATGTAAGGGGACCTTGGCCCTGTAACTTGCTATCTCAATGAGATCATGGACCGCAAACGGTGACAATGCAGGGATCATTATGGAAGGCTCCCAAATGATAGTGAGAACCAACAAGCCCTCCTCAAAATCAGGTCCCAGCATCTGCTCCTGCCCTATTTCTATTGCCCTGTAGTCCCTGAGACATTGATAATGTCCTCTCTTCTTCAGGTCAAGCAAAAGAAGTCCTGACACCAGCTCTAACAGTGCATCCCGAGTCTCTCTTCATCTTCATCCTGACTTCTCCTGTCCCTACTTGCTTCAGGAACAACATCTTCTCCTTTCACCTTTCTCTGCATGGATGTCTACTCTTCCTGACTGCTCCCCTGAAGACTGAGCCCTAGCCCTGAATCAGAAACAGACTGAGTCAATAAACATGGCATTTTTGCATCTCAGTGATGTATTTGGCGTCTTGTACTTGGCTGACACCATTCTGTCCTGAGGAAGCCACTGTCTCCTCAGATACAAGGAGTACCTAACCCATTTCTTCTGTGATCTGTACTGCTTCTTCCTGATCATCCTGATGGAGGTTCCCGAATGCCATGGCCCCTGCCAGACATTTAGACCCCATTGTGGTGTTAGTTTTTGGGCTCTAGAAAATCAAGAAGACAAGGATAGAAAGAGAAAGGTTTACAGCAAAGCATAGCATGCCTAGCACAAGGACAGAGCCTTGATAGATCTATAGGTGACAATGCCTCATCACTTCTCAATTCCTTACTTAAGTGTCATCTGTTACACCTTTATATTTTATCTGTGTCTTTTTTTCACATCTCCATATTTTATTTCAAGATTTGGATTTAAGATTTGTGCTACTTTGCATGTTTAGGTTAGGGGTCTTAGAAAAAGCATGGAATTCAGAAAACTGGTAGATGAATCCTGGGGATGAGTGATCTTCCAGGAACAGGACACACAAGGCCATGTCTGGGGCAGAAGTGAAAAGAAAAGTGGGGCTCAGTGGGGACAGGGTGACACATGTGGAACAGCCCCTCCAGTAGATCCCCTTCCTTAATGAATAGAGACTAGGCCACCCAAGTGTAGAGTGCTAGGTGTACCCGATCAGGTGGAGACAATTACCTTAGTGGTGTACGCTTTTTTTTTTTTTTTTTTTGGTCTTTTTCATTTTTATCAATCGGTACCAAGGATCAAACTCACAACTGCCTGCTTGCAAGGCAGGCACTTATGCGGCTAAGCTAAATCCCCAGCCCCCGGTGGTGTATGCTTTCAATGGGATTTGAGTCATTGTGGTAGAACACTGCACTCAGGAAGGGGAGGAATTGTGATTAGAGACAAGAAAGCATAGCATGATGAGAAGTGCAGCGATTATCTTAGTTGACACAGAGTACTAAGGGTGAGAAGCAGAATCTGAAATCAGAGAAGAGCTGGAAATAGGAAACATGAAAGAACCTCTTTCTGAGAGCCTGTTGTCCCCTCTGGATGGTGGGGTAGATTCCCTCACATGTATCATCTCATTTAATCGACACACTGACCATGTGCTGATCCCAACCCGAAGCATAGCACTATCTCTACAAGGCTGAAAACTATAGTTCATACATCAGGTGATGGTAAGCAATGAAACCGTGATATGTTTTTTTCCAAAGATGGAGATTCTGGAAGCTTTTCTAAGTAGTGACCAGGATGATGCTCTGCTAGGATTTGGTTGATGGTATCACAGTGACCCTAGAAGTAGCTATTCCCAAGTAGGTGGACAGGACACACAGAAATACATTGAGAATGCATTAATTCCTTAATTCCTTGATGTGTTAATTTCTTAAGGCTACTGAAACAAAGTACACAATAGAAACTGACTCCTTTGCTATTCTAGAGGCTAAAAATTTAAATCTGAGATATCAGCAAGGTCATGCTCTCTTACACTTCCAGGAATGATTCTTCTTGCTTCTTCCTATTCTGAGGGCTCCTGGCTTCTTTGGCTATGTCAGCATCACTCTAGCCTCTGCCTCGGTCTTCACACAGGATTTCCCCCTCTGACTCTGCATTTAAATTTCCATTTTCTTTCTCATCAAAACAAGAATCACCTTTGTGTTCATTGTGTTCAGTGCTTTATTGAAATTATACCATCCAAATGAAAAAGGAAAGGCCAGCACAACAGTAAGAGGCCAAAGAAAGACAACACAAAATGAATTCAGAAACAAACTAGACACTATTGTCCAGATTGTAATGTTGTACTGTGCACTGAATGTGTTAAGATTTACCCTATACAAATTATGGGATAAATTTTATGAAATTGCCTTTATATTAAAATTAACCAAAAATGTGGGAAGAAATACAAATGGTTGGATTTATGTCTTATCCAATGTCCAGACCCATTTCATGAGAAATCTGAATGGACTGTATCTGCAAAGACCTGCTTATAAATAAGGTCACGTTCTGAGGTTCTTGCTGGGGATAAATTCTCAGTGGACACTGTGATGTTTAGTGCTCAGGAACTGGAAATGAGCTATTCCACAGAGGCAGCTTGCATGGACCTGGAAAAGACAAATCTCATGGCAGAGTTGGCTTGGAGAGCTCATTGCATTCTGATTCCTCCCATAAGTCATAACTCTCTAGATGTCCCAATTTAGTACAGCTTTTATAGGCTGACTTGTTTGTCTTCTTGCTTGTTTTCTTTTTCATAATGGTTAAAATGCATAATAACAAAGGAGATAAGCTTTGTGCCCTACAGAAGCACTTACCAAGTGTTGCCTCCTACTTTAGACCTGAAGAGGTTGCAGGCATGTTCTGGTTACTGTTCCTGAGGGCAGAATGGAGTGATAAGTGGATGAAGGGACAGGCAGATTATTGGGAGAGAATGAGCTGCTGTGTGGGAATGCCAAAATCAGACCAGGACCGTGATGTTGGAGGACAGAGATTTCAATGAGCAGATCTTATAATGGCTGTAGGGCCAAATAAGGGTGGAGGTAGGGAGAAGGTAACCCATCATGGAAGAGGATGAGGTCTACAGGTTTGGTGTCTGCCATCTTGCAGATACAAGAAGTCAAGGCATTAGCAGGTGGGAGAATGTGGGAGGAGTTCTTGGTTAGAAACCTAGAGTTTGTATCAGGGCAACCACAAAGAATGGAGGATTCTCCTCAGGGAGATAAACATCACCCTCCCTTGCAAGGGGCTTCACAGAAATGGAGAATTATAAACAACTCCATCTGATCCACACCCACTATCCTATGTAACCAAGGGAGTTTCTTCACAGCAAGTCTTAAAAATCACTTCCTTGTATCTTTTAAACACCACAACTCCCATTCAATTCCTAGGCCCTGAGAATTTGTTCTCTTCTATCTCTGTCTCTTCCTCTAGAATCCAGGTGAACCCCAGGTGCCCTCTCTGTTCTTCTTTAAGACACATTGAGCAAAGATAGGTCAGGAACAGAACAATCATATACTTTATTGTACAAATTGTTACACTATTGAAAGTGAAAACGCTGCTAACAAGACGGCTTGCTGGAATGAGTATTAGACTGTCATAGCAAAGCCAAGATTCTGGACCTCTAGGAAAAAAGCTCTGAGGGAGCCCCTGGGTACAGTTATTCATGCAGTGGAGAGGCTAGAAAGCTTCTTCTCTGACCTGGGTCTCTCCACTTGTCCTAACATGGAGGCTGATCTGGGACCCATGTCACCAGATAAATATGTGGGAAGAATATAGGACAAAGACAGCAGAAACCTCACAGAGGACAACAGTGCAGTGGCAATGCATGCTTAAGGACTGAAGAGATCTACAAGAAATTCTGTCTCTAGAAGAATACCCAGGATCCACATGTTCTCACCATCCCAGAGGGCACAGCTCAGTTCCCCTTAGGTAGCAACCCAGGAGAGAAACCAATTTGTGAACTTGATGGATTTATTTGGCAACTAGGAGGGGGAAAGGAACATCTGAATTGTCAGGTAATGATGGAAACTTCTTGGACAAAGAAGAGGTAGCAGTCACTGTCACTTGTCTGGGGGAAGAACTTTCCTTGCAGCAAGAAATTCCATGGAGATCTTCCTGTTGCACTGGGCATTGCTAAGGCTAGAGAAGTTAGGGAGCGGTTTGTTCCTGGGGCTGTTGAGACTTTAAGGAGACAGAGGCTTTGTTTTTATCTTAATAAAGTGATTGGGGACTGAGGTGGGAGGGAAGAAAGGAAAAGGGATTTAGACCTACAGAAGGTGAGGTGAGGGCAAAGGATCCTACCTAGTGTTCATCTTTCCATTTCCTTCCCCGAGCTGCTTCCCTTTTTTAAATTCATTCTTCACTATATGATACACAACCCCAAATGTCCTATGTAGTAGAAGTTGCATGAGGTCACTCTAGTTAGGGATGAATGTGGAGGGGAAGAATAAGTCCTCTCTTGATACCTGCATACCTAGGTGCACATTCATTTAGAGAACTGGGAGATGCTGATGGGTACCCAGTGGGTGGACAATCCTCATGGGACAATTCTTGACTTTACCAATAAAATATGGTTGCTAAATCTATATTCTCCTCCCAAACTGGCCTCTTGAACTTCAATCACCAGATCACTGTTACCATGTCTATGGGAATTAACTTGCAGCATATAAGAAAACTCATATTGTTGAATATATAAACCTGGCCAATAATTTTAATTGCAGTTAATTCTGCTGTTTCTTGTAAACTGTAATTTCCAGAACAGTCATTTATGGGCTTTGAGTTCCCATGACCTGATATTTTATTTACTTCAGTTGGGGCCCAAACACAGAACATTTCTTAGCCCAATTAGATATTCTCACCTCCTATCTGGAAGGTTTTTGATTTTTGCTCTATGTGTTTGTGGATCTTAAGTTCCTGGGCTCCTTGATGCCTCTAATCTTTCTGCTGCTCCTTAAGATTTACCATGATGACATTTTACCTTCCCTCAAACATCTCCAGCAGAAAAGCTGTGTTCTACTCACCACACTTCTCTTTGAAGTTCCAAATATGTGTGTTTCTCTTTTATTCCTATCTATAGTCTTTACCTTCCTTGCACCTGGGTCCCTGAGAAGGGTCCTGGGTGAGGTAAGATCCCAATAATGATTAAATGGCTTCTGTAGGTTAGCAAAAAAGGATCTGAAAGTAGAACCACACTGTGACTATTTCCAGAGAAATTTCATCCATTTATTCTGCAATTGATGGCAGCTGTCATCTGTGAGTGTGAGGGATGGTCTTGATGGGAGGATATGTACAGAGTTTCCTAGAGGTCTAGCCCCCTACCACATCTTTATTAGAATCCTTGCTCATATAAATTAGTGTTTTGAAATAGTACCCACGTTGAGGTTGTCTCAGCAGTTACAATTTTGCTTTCTGCAACTTTACTCTACAGTGGTGCTGGATCTTCACTGGATCTTGCAGTCACAGATACTCTGAGAGGTAATAAAACATAAAAAGAATCTTGAATCTGAACACCCTCCCTAAC